TGTCATGTTTTTTTGATGGTTTCATGACAGTCCATTGTATGAACATATTGTAGTTTTTTGAAGAATTGCCTCTTGGGCTGGGGCTACAGGTCAGTACGCTTGCTTAGCATGTGTGAGGCACTGGGTTCCATCCTTGGTACCACATAAAAATGAACAAATAAAATAAAGGCATTCCGTCCATCTACAACTACAAAAAAAAAAAAAAAAAAAAAAAAAACACTTGTGGGGCTAAGATAGGAAGATTGTGAGTTCAAAGCCAGCCTCAGCAACTTAGTGAGACACTTGCAACTCAATGAGACCCTGTCTCTAAATAAAATATTTACAAAAGGGCTGGGGATGTGGTTCAGTGGTTAAGCACCCCTGAGTTCAATTTCCAGTACCAAAATAATAATAATAATAATAATAACTCCACAAATAACTGCCTCTTGTGGGCTACTTGGGCTGTTTCCTTATTTTCTTTTTTGTTTCTTGTTCCTGCATGCAGTGCTGGGTTCCCCTGAGAGCTGACAAAACCTCTGGGTCCACATGGCACAGTGTGAGGCAGCCACACAGCACGGTGGGCCTCCTCCCACCCCAGAGCTTGGCCGTGGTTCCTCACTTCTTCCGGCTTCTCTCATTTTCTTGTTAAGTTTGGTGCAAGCCTATTTCTATCCTCCAGGAGGGAAGCAGGGTCAGGCTGACTCAGAACTGGATTTCTTGGAATCTACAGAAGTAACATTGGGTCAGAACACCCACTTGTGAATGTCCCAGCTGACACTTCAAGGAGGTGTCACTGAGCCACTGGCTGCTAAAGACCTAGAGGCCTTGATTTCTGTGTCAGTGGTGATACGATAGGAACACAAAATGGCAAAGCAACAATACCATCCCACATGCCAAGAAAAACTGCAAACGTCTCACCTGCTCATCTGGCCTCACTCCCTGCCTCCTCCAGGAAATATCCTGGTGTTAGTTTTAGTATTAAATTTTCATTTTTAATTTTTGTTTCTGTATCTTCAGGCTTTGAAGAACCAAAGCCTTTCTGTTCTACAGCCAGGGTTTTATTTTACTTCTTAAGAAACACCCTCAGCCCCTCCTTCTACGTGAGATTAATCAGCCACTCATCAGTGTGGGAATCTTTGGAATGAGAGCATATTCTACTCTTAGGAATCATCTAACTGCTGTGGATGCAGCTCAATGGTAGAGTACTTGCCTAGCATGTGTGAGGCCCTGGGTTCCAGCCCCAGCAACACACACACACACACACACACACATACACACATACACACACACACCCAATCATCTAATCCAGGGATTTTTGTTGCTTATTTATTTTACACATGCAATACCTAGAAACATTTCATTGTGAAGGTAAAGCTAAAGTTTCCTTGATTGACCTCTTATTTTCTTCTATGTTCAGAGATAGCCTGTATGTCACTTTGGTGTAAATCTTTTTAGAATTTTTTTTTAATGCATTTATGTATATAAATATACATGCACCAAGGGCTGGGGTTGTGGTGGAGCGCTCGCCTAGCAAGTGCAGGGTCCTGGGTTCGATCCCCAGCACCACATAAAAATAAATAAATAAAGGTATTGTGTCCACCTACAACTAAAAAATAAATGTTAAAAAAATAAATATACATGCACCTAGACACACACAATCTTAGAAAATCCTTAGCAAATACCTTCCGGTTTCCTCCACCAGAAAATGGTGAGATACTGTTTGTTATTCTGCATCTTGTCTTTTCCGCCTAAGCCATAGGTCTTAGGAATCATCTATGTTGGCACCTTCTTCTTTGTAGTGGCTGTGTATGAGAGTAACCATCATGCTATGGGTGAGCAGGTGCTTTCCCCTTGACTATGAGAGCATTGACAGCCCTTGGCTGACTTACCCGGATGCACCTGGGTAGGTGCTAGAAATGGCTGGGCCACAGGTTAGTGCAAGAGAAGGTCCGTAGCCATTGCCAGATGGCTCTCAAAGGTACCAGTACCTCTTCTGCCCCATTCAGCTCAGGTGGGGGTCACCTCTAATGAGCATTGCTACCTCAGGAGCCAGTTTCTCAAAGGAGCAAGGCAGCGTGCCCACCCCAGGTTCAGGGACTACAAAAGGCTTGGCCACCAGAAGTCCAAACCTGCTTCTTCCTGCTCTGTAAACAAGGGTGTAGAGATTCCACTGTGCTGGTCTATAGTGGTAAAAGCAGACCCAAGGACCCGGATGTTAGTACAAGAGTTTTATATTGTGCTTAAAAAAAGAAAGAAAAGAAAAGTCAATTGCATTAAATCCACCCATCGCCAATGGCATGATTTTGTGGGTTTGGGAAACAAGGTGATTTTGACCCTATAAAATACCATACCCTCTAATGGTGAAATACTTTCTTCCTTGACTGGTTTATTGGTTGGTGCCCTGCCATCCAGCCAGGTGATTTCTGGAGATAATCCTCCCTGATGGGACAGCCTCTGTGGCAGTTATCATCTGAGGCCCAGAGAGCTCTGTGTCTCTGGCAGAGATCAGGATATCTGGATAGACAGACTGAGAAGGATGTCCTGCTGACTTCTCAGACTGACAGGCAGGGGTCAAAGGCTGGCCTGGCCTTTTTGAGCACCTGGAAGATGAGAGGTGACTGTGGCACTTTTTTATTTTTATATTTTATTTGCAGTGCTGGGATTGAACCCAGGGCTTGCTCATGCTAGACAAGTGCCCTACCACCAAGCCACACCCTCAGCCCTGTGGTACTTTTCTTTAAAGTATAGGGATCGAAATTCAGAAAATGCTTTTAAGATGTAAAAATGTCTGCTGTGGGGTCATTTATAACAGGGAAAAAAAATCAGCAACCAGTTCAAAGTCTAACAAAGGAAAATAGGGGTGTAGTTAAGTCAATAACAATAAACTCGACCAATTATTATTCTACTCTTAAAACAGGCTGCAAACTGATTTGTCAATTTCACAATTACTTGATACAATAATGTTCATGAGAAATTTAAGTGACTTTTCATGGAGTGTAATTTTTTTTTGTTGTTGTTGTTACTGGGGAATAAACCCAGGAGCACTCAACTACTGAGCCACATCCCCAGCCCTTTTTTGTATTTTATTTAGAGACAGGGTCTTGCTGAATTGCTTACGGTCTTGCTATGTTGCTAAGGCTGGCTTGTGATCTTCCTGCTTCAGCCTCCCAAGCTGTTGGGATTATAGGCATGCTCCACCATGCCTAGTTTCTCACGGAATATAATTTTACAAGAGCTTTTTTGGAAGAGAACTGGACAATTTACATATATATATATATATTTGTTATTGTTGTTGTTTTGTTTTTTTAAAGTGCTGGGAATTTAACCCAGGGCCTCACACACGCTGCACCACTGAGTTATACCCTGCAACTCCCAGATGTTAAATGTGATCCAGAAATTACATTAAAAAAAAAAAAGTCCTACTAAGATCTTGCATGAACGTGCAGAAGTTTAGAAACAAGCATGTTCACTTCAGTGCTGTTTGTACTAGGACATCTTGGAGAGAATCCAAGTACCCATCCACTGGAGATTAGACAAATACCTTAGGGGACATGTACACAGTTATATATCCTACAGTCCTGGAAAGGTCAACCAGGCAGTCTGTGCACATGACGTAGAAAGCCATCCAAGGTCCCATGTGAACTGGGGGAAGTAAGACGCAGAACATGCCAAGTGCAGCCCCGTGGCTCCTAAATACAGGTTTCTGTTGACAAGGCAGAGGAAAAACTTGCAGAGTGGCTGCATCAGCTGTCAGCTAGCTGTGGTTTTCAAAGGCAGGGGGCGTGGTTAGGGAGGACTTCCACTTTCTAGTTCAGAGTTCCATAGTGCTTACAGTTTTTACTCAAAGCAAACCATCCCTTTGGAATCAAGCCAAACAATCAAGGTCACTGATTCCAGTCTTCCTAAAAATGAAGAGTGCATGGTGCAGCCCTGTCTGGGCTGGAGTCCCTGAGAAGCCAGAGCCCTGCAGAGGCTGGCCAGGGTGGCCGAGGGATCCTAGTGGGGGCCTGGGGAGGCCTGGGATAGCTGCTCCTCACATTCCCTCCCATCTTGGAGCTGCTGTGGCCCACCACGACAAAACAACGTCCGGTCCACCATCTAGTCTCCGCCCCATGGCTCAGCCTCTGGCCTAGAAAGGAGTTTTGGTCTCACTGATTCTGGAGAGACCAAAGGAAGAGATTCAGGTTCTTCAGGAAGAGAGAAGAGAGTTGCTACCCACCATGGGTGTTAGAGTTCATTTGGGACAAGGTTTTGTTTGTTTGTTTGTTTGGCATTTTGGGTTTGCTTTTTGGTGCTACGTATTGAACCCTGGTCCTTACCCATGCTAAGCCTATGCTCTTCCACCAAGCTACACCCCCACCTTCCAGATAAAATGGGCTTTTTGAAACAAGAATGGGATTATACCAAGTCTTAGCCTGTTTTCTGTTGCTATAACAAAATAACTGAGGCCAGATAATTTATAAAGAACAGATTTAGGGGCTGGGGATGTGGCTCAAGCGGTAGCGCGCTCGCCTGGCGTGCGTGCGGCCCGGGTTCGGTCCTCAGCACCACATACAAAGAAAGATGTTGTGTCCGCCGAAAACTAAAAAATAAATATTAAAATTCTCTCTCTGTCTCTCTTTAAAAAAAAAAAAAGAACAGATTTATTTGCCTTACAGTTCTGATGGCTGGCAAGTCCAAGAGCAAGGCACCAGCATCTGGTGAGGGCATTTTGGGCTGCATCATAACATGGCATGGTGTCTTCTTTTTTTCTGCAGCGCTGGGAATGAACCCAGGGTCATACTCATGCTAGGTGAGCACTCTGCTACTGAGCTGCACCCTCAGCCTGGTACCTTATTTTCATTCTCAACTTTCTGGCTATAAGTGAAAAGGTGTATAATTAAAAGAGGTGTCACTCTGTCCACAAGAACGTGAGAATAAATAGGGTCTCTTGGGGACTGTTCCTCCCCAGGGGAAATGGCACGGGGAGAGGAGGCTGGGCCACTCCTGGACTGAGCCTCATGTTTCCTTACCTTCTGCAGGAAGCCTGGAAGCATGCGATCGAGAAAGCCAAGCACATGCCCGACCCCTGGGCCGAGTTCCACCTTGAGGACGTTGCCACCGAACATGCTACTCGCCACAGGTCAGCGGCTTGTCTGGGGAGTTCTGAGATCCAGGGGTCTAGGGAGGTCCTGTCAGGGAGGCCCAAGTACCCTTGGAGTCAAAGAGAAGAGAGTAACTCAGGTCAAGCACCCCAAATCTGGAAGCCCAAGTTTCAGCTTTTGGAGCATTTTAGATTACCAACCAGTGAAGTCTAAGCAAATATTCCAGAATCCAAAGAAATCCGAAACCTGGAATGTTTCGGGCCCCATGCATTTTGGATAAGGGGTACTCAACTTTTAATAACTGTGGACAATATTTGAGTGTTTGTGCATGCGGCAGGCACTACGCATTATCTCACTGAGTCCTTCTTAGAGTCCCACAGGGTACGTTTTAGGCAGATGAGGCTGAGCTATGCTGCAGTAACAAATAACCCAAGGGTTTCATGCAACAAAGTGTATTTCTTACATGTTGTGAAGTGGGGTGAAAGTTGAGGCCTCTTCGGAGCAGCTTGGGGATCCAGGTTACTTCCACCTTGTGGCTCCATCTTCTCAACATGTGACCCCACAATTGCCACCAAAGGGAAGGATAGCATCGAGGAAGCACGGTAGCTTTTCAATGCCTGCCTTGACCCAGGAAGTAGCCTCCGTTTCTATGCATTTCAATAGCGAGATCTAGTGGCTGGGCCCCACCTCTTCCCCCGTCCTGCAGTACTACCTTCTCCCTCATGAAACCCTCCTCATGGGGTGGGTGCAGGGCAGACTAGCAGGGCAGGTACAGGCTTTGCTCCTTTCCTGCAAGAGCACTGTGGTAGCTGGCTGGTGACACACAGCTTCCAGGCTGAGGACACTCGGTCACCAGAGAGGCCCTGGGAATTACCAGCCTGGGAAATTTGGACATGTGCTGGGCCGGCTGTGTCTCTAAGCTCAGGCCAAAATGTTTATTTCCTAATTAAAGTAGCCAACTTCATTTGCCCTGGTTGCCCGGGGTAGGAGGCCATGCCTAGAATCTCTGGAGATTTCTAAACCGGAGGCTTCCTTCTCTGTTCCTGGGTTTTCATGAGTTCGGGTGCAAGCTGGTCCTTTACTGGGACAGATTTCCTGTCCATGTGGGTTGTACCCAGGCTGGTTGACAGTAGGGTTCTTACTTGAACCAACCTGCGTTTGAATCCTGGAATCTCTGGCAGAAACTTTGCCTCTCCCAGCTTCAGTTTTCCCATCTGGAAAATGGGTGCAATAACTAGTAGTCTCAAGGTGACTGTGAAGGTTGAGTGAAGTGGAGTGAGGTGGATTGTGGGAGCTCAGCGAACTTGGAGCCCTCTGACCTTTATGATATTTAGTGGCTGTGAGTCAGTAAAACCCTTACCAAGTCATATGCTTCCCCTGCCCCAGTCCCTGGGTTCCTCTCGTTCGCAGGCGAGGGAGGATTATTTTCAGTACCTTCATCTCTATCTAGTAATAAAGCAGTCATCACTGTTATTTATTGAGCACTGTATTGCCAGGGGCTGGTTGCAAGCAAGTTTGCCGCTGTGAAAAGCCCTCCTCCTGGGGCCTGGGAGTTCCCTGCCAGGTCTCTGCTTGTTTTTCCTTGCAGAGGTTTCAGGCTCCGAGAAACCTGTTCTCACCAGGGCGGGGAGTGCCCTAGAGTCTGCCTGAGCTGCGGAGTGGGCCAAGAGAGGCATCAAGCAGATCTTGGAACACCTTGGTGCAGGGGAGGTGTTAGATGTTAGCGATCTGCTGAGCTGAGGCGCTTCCCACCAGACAAACCTGTTTGGGGCCTACCCAGGCCCAGGGTCAGATGTGCTCTGGGAAAGAGGATTCCTAGGAGGGAAGAGACAGAATGTTCCAGAACCTTCTCCATCTCTCTCTACCTTGGGCATGAACCCAGCAGCCTCTTTCCTGGCTAGACTTGGAGCTAGGACCTTCCCCTTCCCCTCCCTGCTCATGAACAGTCTTTCTTGTGAAATAGTCCCATCTTCCTGGGCTGGGCCTGGCTCAGATGTGTGGTGAGGTGGAGAACACTGATGCGTCTCCCCAGGGATGTTCTGTTACATACACAAGGATATTTCTGCATTCACCAGACGTGCATTTAAATATCCACCACACCAGGCCCCATCAGGGATGACCCACGAGGTCAGCAGGGCCTGTGGGCCAAGGAAGGGAGAGGCCTAGGTCATGGGGGGCCCAGACTTTAGCCAGTTAGAGACAGGATCACGTTTTGATTTTGCCTTCTGAGATGGGCACTGGTCTCTGCAGGTACAACGCTGTCACTGGGGAGTGGCTGGAAGATGACGTTCTGATCAAGATGGCATCTCAGGTGAGCTGGGTCCTGGGCTCCGAGGAGACAAGCCTGAGTGGGGACTTCCTCCAGCCAACCTCAATCCCTGTACTCTCCCCTCCACTCCCGCTTCATTTGGTTTTTTGAACCCTGGGAATTCTTTATGTGATAGTTTGCATAGTGTGCCTTTAAAAAATAGATTTATTGAAGTATCATTTGTATGCCAACAATTTGCCCATTTAAAGTACATAGGGCTGGGGATATAGTTCAGTCTTGGTAGAGTGCTTGCCTCGCATGTGCAAGGCCCTGAGTTCAATCCCCAGCACCACAAAAAATAAAAAATTTAAAAAAAAAACCTATCTATCTATCTATTTATCTATCAGTGCCGGGTGTGGCGGCACATGCCTGTGATCCCAGTGGCTCGAGAGCCTGAGGCAGGAGTATTGGGAGTTCAAAGCCAGCCTCAGCAACTTAGCGAGGCCCTAGACAACTCAGTGAGACCCTGTGTCTAAATAACATACAAAAAATGGCTGGGGATGTGGCTCAGTGGTAAAGTGCCCCTGGGTTCAATCCCCTGTAACACACACACACACACACACACACAAAAGGAGTTTAAAGTATAAAGTTCAATTGTTCTTAGTGTATTTACAGGGTTATGCAACTCTTACCATTATTAATTCCAGAACATTTTCACCTTCCCTAAATGAAATCCCGTGCCTACCATTGTCACTCCTCATTCCCTCAACTCCTCCCACCCTGGCAACCACGAATCTAACTTCTGTCCCTGTAGATTGGTCCATACTAGACATTTCATATCCTAAGAGACCCTATATCATAAATGACTGTTCTTGCCTAATTAGAACAAATTTAAAAAAGAAAAAGAAAAGACTGTTCTTGGGACTGGGGCTGGGACTCAGTGGTAGAGCACTAGCCTGGCATGTGTGGGTCACTGGGTTTGATTCTCAGCACCACCTATAAATAAATTAATTAAATAAAGGTTCATCGACAACTAAATATATTTTTTTTAAAAAAGACTGTTCTCAGCACTTTTGCTGAAAATCAGTTAACTGTAAATATATTTATCAGTTCTTAAAAATTGGAGGTCACTACCTATAACTGAGCTATTGAATAAATTCAGAGGGTTGTAACCAGCCTTTTAAAAAGTAGAAAATAGTCCTTCCTGCTTGGTGAGGGTAAGGATCATCTCGGGAAGCTTTTTTTAGTGTAACATGCACAGCTTGGCTGGGGTATAGTTCAGTGGTAGAATATGTGCTCAGCATGCATGAGGCTCTGGGTTGAGTCCCCAGCACCAGAAAGAAAGCTTATAGCTTGATAAATTTTCACAAAGTGAGTGCACAGATCAAGAAATAGAATATAACCAGTGCTTCCAAAAGCCCATCTCATGCTGTTCCCTCCCCGCAAGTATAAGCACTACTCTGATTTCTATCACTCTAAATTAGTCATATATATAAAATAACAATAATAATAAATTTTTTTCAGGGCTGGGAATGGAACCCAGGGTTTTGCACATGCTAGGCAAGCACCCTACCACTGAGCTACATCTCCAGCCCCATTTTTCCAGTTTTTACCAATGGAGCCACACTAACTGGGTTCTTTTGAGTATGGCTTCTTTTACTTAACACTTTGCGTTTATTCTCCTTGCTGTATAATATTTCATCAAATGAACAGACCTAGTTGATTTCTTTAGTATATTAGTATATTGTTGATGACATTCATCTTGTTTCCCCTTTTTTGGGAAATAGTATATTAATTAGTTTTCTGTCACTGTAACAAAATACCTGAGATAATCAACTTAAAAGAGAAAAGATTTACTTTGGCTCATGGTTTCAGAATTTTCATTTCATGGTCGCTTGGTCCTATTTCTTTGGGCCTGTGGCAGCACATTACCTCATAGCTGGAGCATGTGGTGGTGGAGGCTTGTTCACTTCATGATGGCCGGAAGTAAAGAGAGAAAAAAGAGGGGCTGGGGTCCAACTATCTACTTCAAGAGTATCCCTCCAGCGACCTAATTTCCACTCCTAGGCTCTACTTTGTAAAGGTCTTACCGCCTCCCAATAGTGTACTCCTCCCTGTCTCTTAGAAACTCCAGGCTGGAAGGCCTATCAGGCTTTGGTGCTGGGGTACAGCAGGGAGGGCTTAAGGATATTCGGATTGAGATGAGGTTCAGGGCATCTGCTGGGTGGGGGGTGTCTCAGGGGACCATCTCCTGCCTCAAGCTTGCTTCTGAGCGGGACACGGGGACTGATAACTCTCTGTGTGTTGTCTTTCAGCCATTCGGCCGTGGAGCAATGAGGGAGTGCTTCAGGACGTAAGTGACTCAGCCTGGCGTGTGGGGTTCTGCCCAGACTTGGCCAGGCTCCTTAGACCTAGGAAATTGGGACATTTTCAGCTAATGACTGGAGACAGTGACTTCTGCCTTTTTAAAGCCCACGATCTGCCAGGTGTAGTGGTGCCTGCCTATAATCCCAGTGACTCAGGAGGCTGAGGCAGGAGGATTGCTAGTTTGAGACCAGCCTCAGCAACTTAGGAAGATCCTAAGAAACTTAGCAAGACCCTAAGCAACTTAGCAAGACCCTGTCTCAAAATAAAAAAATTAAAAGGGACAGGGGGTGTAGCTCAGTGGTTAAATGCCTCTGAGTTCAATCTCCAATACCAAAAAAAAAAGCCTAAGTTCCTCTCCATCTGGTGTGTATTGGACCACACTTTGGACCTGGCTGTGGGGATTGGGCTCCAGGAGAACAGGGTCAAGGAAAGGGGATAGGAGAACTTCAACAGTGACCCTACCCCTCTTCCTAGCTCTTTGAAGTGTGCAGTGGAGTGGGGACGCCCCTCCCACCTCTGCATTTCTGTCTCCAGTTATCCATGTCATGTCAGGTAGGTCCCCAGTGAACCCCAAGGTGCCCAGACAGGCCTCCTCTCTTTCCCCAGGAAGAAGCTCTCCAACTTCTTGCACGCCCAGCAGTGGAAGGGAGCCTCCAACTACGTGGCCAAGCGCTACATCGAGCCCGTGGACAGGGACGTGTACTTTGAAGACGTTCGCCTACAGATGGAGGCCAAGCTCTGGGGGGAGGAGTATAATCGGCACAAGCCCCCCAAGCAGGTATGACCCCCTCCCTGCCTCCTTCCCACTCGAGAGCCGAGGGGACAGCATCTGGGGATGGAGGATGGTGGCACTAATAGGGGCCTTTCTTCACCTTCTAATAACAACCCCTATTTGCGGAGCACAGTGAACCACGTACCTGATATGCCGAGAGTCATCTGTTCCTCAAAACCGAGCTCTGAGGTTGTAATGTTTTTAATCCCCATTTCCAGATGGGATCGGTTAAGTATTTTTGGTTGCAAATGATGAAAACTCACTTGACTGGCTTAATTCAAAAAGGGAATTCATTGTTTCATGCACCAGGAAAAAAAAAAATAGTGTCAACTATAGGCGTGGCTGGATCCTGGACCAAAGTGAGGTTATCAGGACTCTTCCCCCATCTCTGGCTGGGTGTTCCCTGTGCTGACAACACTCTCAGGCAGCCTCCAGGGTCACTTTCTGTCTTCTCATCAATCCTGTTAGAATGGCGATACTTACTTTTCCTTAACTTCCAGTGAAAGTCTCAGACTTGGATTTTATTGGTTCTGATGAGATCAGATGCCTATGCCTGAGCCAATCACAATGACCAAGAGAAAATAATATGCAGATTAGGCCTATTTAAGCCAATCACAATGACCAAGAAAAAAGAATATGCAGATTAGGCCTATTTGAGCCTTGGAACCAGGAAGGTAGGGCATTCCACCCAGGCCACCTGGACAGAGGCTGGAGATGCAGTGGCTTCCAAGAAAAAGCAGGAGGAGTGGGGAATGGACACAGCATTGGCTCCCTGAGGAACTCAGAGCTCAGTGGGGTTAACTGACTTGCCCAGCTAGGTGGGGATGGAGCCACGGCTCAAATCCAGGCCTTCCCACTCTCTGCCAGGGTTGGCCCCTTCACTTGAGACCATTGGGCACTATTGCCTATGGGCACTTAAGGAATCATTGGTTCATGCTCAGCCTTCACTGCTTGAGCACTACTCCTCCGTGTCTCAGAGAGTCACACTTCCAGGCAACCAGCAGAATTTATTGAGCACCTGCTGTCTGCAAAGCCCTTGATTAAGTATACTTGGAGTGGACATAAGAAGTTCCCATTCTCAGTGGCTGTGATCTCCTTAGAATTTGGCTACACGCTGGTCTTGATCTGTCCAATCCTTGCATGGCTAGCTCCTTCTCATAGTTCAGGTCTCAGTTCATGTCTTACCTACTCGCCAAGGCCATCTGTGACCACCCTAAATGAAGTCACCCTCTCACCCCCACCACCTCTGCCATGTTATTCTGGTTTATTGTATTTTCTTTTCTTCTGAGCAGTTAGTGCTTTCTGGAAGAGTCTTGTGCATGTAGTTAATATTTTAGTTGCTTTCCTCTGAAGGCAGGGATTTGGGTATCTAGTAAATAGTGATGTGATTGAATTCAGAGAGCGAGATAAGTGTGGTTGTTTGAGCAGGTACTGGCTGTCCACACAACCTGTCCCATTGCCCCTTGCCCAGGGAGCCCTCTGGCCAAGCAAGTGGCCCTACCACAAGCATCCATGTAGAGATAGAGCCATCATGGGAGGTGGGAGCCCTCTGAGGACTGACCTTCCCCTTCTTGCCTCAGCTCTCAGCTTTGGCTTCTGTGACTTCTAAAGCTATTGTCCGCCTATCTGGTGACTCAGCCTCTCTGAACAGTCATTTTCTTGGAAAACCCAGACCTGGTTCCTCCCATGTTGTGGGTGGCACTGAGAGTGGAGGATGCTATGGGTGAGTCTTTATGTAGAAAGATAAAATATATAAGCCACAGGTCTTCCCTACCCACTTTTTAAACTCTATGTGGCATTTATACATTTTCTCCTACATGAAACATTAAACGTATACTTTACGAAATTTCAACACAAACAACAAAATTTCTCATAATTTCCCATTGCAGGGAGAGAACCTCTACAGGTTGGCATAGATGACTAAACTCACGTCCGCTGATGATAATGATGTTGCAAATATTGACTGACTCCTTTGTGTATCAACAATTTAATCTTTGTATTAAGTCTGAGATTCCCCTCTTCACTGGGAGGAAATTGAGGCACAGGTGAAATAATGCACTACTTACTATTCATAGTATTAGTGGAAGGCACAGGCTAAGTTGCTGGCAAACATTCCTGCAAACATGTTTATGTAAAATGGGTTTCTCTCTTGCTCATGCTTTGGGGTGGCTTAAAGTGGGCAGGTGCCTCAATCCTTAAAGTCATCGGGAGGCCTGGTTTCTTCTGTCTTGTGACTCTGCCCTCCCTGGGGTTGCTGTGGGCTACAGGGTTGATTCTGGCTCGCCAGCAGAGCCCACCTTGCAGGGCAGGCTGCAGCTATGGCATTGCACCTGCTCCCTTCCCATTGGATGGGCGTGGTCACATGACTGCCCTAGCTGCAAGGGAGGCGGAGCAATGCCATCTCTTCGTGATGCATCTTGGGGATAATTAGTAGTTCTGCCACAGTCATCTGGGGAGTGGTGGAGCCAGAGTCAGAGCCCTCCAGGCCCTGCCCTTCCACCTGACCCCACTCCCTGACCTCCTCCCAGGTGGACATCATGCAGATGTGCATCATCGAGCTGAGGGAGAGACCCGGCCAGCCACTCTTCCACCTGGAGCACTACATTGAGGGCAAGTACATCAAGTACAACTCCAACTCAGGCTTTGTACGCGATGACAACATCCGCCTGACTCCACAGGTAAGGCCCCGGCTTGCTCTGCATATACCTACACTCTCCACCCACCCTAGCCCTTGGGAGTGAAGCCTGGCCAGGGTCAGCCCTAGAAAGGAGGATCCTTGTGGGAATGAGGTCTCACATCCCCAGAGGCCCCCCAGGCTCCTTGAAGTGTTCCAAAGGAGATTCTGTTACCAAACACCTGTCATCCCATGCCAGCTTCTACCAGCAGACCTAAGTTGGCCACAGGATTGCATCACCAAGGTCCTTGCAGAACTGAACAGGCCTCCTTCCTCTATCTTGTCCTCTATACAATTGTGCGTTGCAGAGAAAGTACCCCAGCTCAGGCAGAGCTGGGATGTTATACGCCCCAGCCACCACAGTGACTGGCCAGCGTCTGCAGAGTTCACAGCCCGGACTCTTACAACCACCTTTTTCTAACTGTTTCTCACAGGCCTTCAGCCACTTCACGTTTGAGCGTTCTGGCCATCAGCTGATAGTGGTGGACATCCAGGGTGTGGGTGACCTCTACACCGACCCGCAGATCCACACGGAGATGGGCACGGACTTTGGAGATGGCAACCTAGGTCAGTGGGGAAGCCAGAGCGTCCTTCCTCCGAGCATCTGCAAGTTCTTAACTCACCCAAGGAGACAGACAGAGACAGCCGATGGGCCTTCCCAAGTGTATCGAGATGAGAGCTTGGGATATCTGACCCCCACTTCCAGCTCAGCATGTTTCCACCCACCCTGGCCATGTGTCTGTTACTCACTCTGCCTTTCCCCTATTCAGATGCAAAGTGACACTTCAGATGCCCCTGTTCTGTCCACAGGTGTCCGAGGGATGGCTCTCTTCTTCTACTCTCATGCCTGCAACCGAATATGCCAGAGCATGGGCCTCACTCCTTTTGACCTCTCACCCCGGGAGCAGGATGCATTGAATCAGAACACCAAGATGCTGGTGGGTGCCCAGGGTGAACCTGGCCCGTCTGCCAGGCAGCAAGCCCTGCTTTTCTATACTGGCAGCTGGGCCTGGAGTGCTGAATTCAAGAATATCAGGGCTGATAAGATCCATCCCATCTGTTCCTCAATGCATCCCCTTCAACTTGGTGCACAGAGCCCTTTGGAGGGTCCCCATGATAGAGTAGCTGTTATCTGCTTGAGTTGGGCCCATTTGTGACCAGAGTGAGGAAGACCAGCAGGTAGGAAAGGAGAGACGGTGTGTGGTGTGTGATTGTGTGGTATATTGACAAATGAGAGATTAGACTCACACCTGGCTCTCTGGGCATCTTATTGTGTGCAAGATGAGATTACACACCACACCCCTGCTTACACAGACCAGATGCAGAATATTGGCAAAGACCAGCTTGGGATCCTGGACATATATTGGAATATATTGTCCAGCTCAGGGCTGCAAAGTATGGCTATCACTTTAGAAGGTGCTGGCTGGCAGGCCCTTTGAGATCTGTACCATGTGCCCCTTCTTGGATACCTGAGGGTTAATCCTGCACTGATTTTTTTTGCATGCAAAAGAGCAATAGCTAAAAGGGGTTCAGGGATAGAGGGAAACAACAGAAAGAACAAAAAGAGCCCCTCATTCCCCAGAGAGTGACTACATGACATAAGTATCCCTGTTACCATCCCCAGCAATCAGCCAAGACCACCTTAAGGGGGACAGAGGAAAAGTGCGGGAGCCCCCGAGTGAGGACCCTCTCTGGCAGCCGGCCCCCCCTGCTCCTTCGCCTTTCAGAGAACTCTGGAGACGAGAACATGAGTGATGTGACCTTCGACTCTCTCCCATCTTCCCCTTCGTCAGCCACACCACACAGCCAGAAACTGGACCCCCTCCGTGAGTGATGATTTGGTGTTCGGTCATTGTGATTGGAGGGGACAGCAGAGGGTAGAGCAGAGATGAACTGGTTTTCACTCCTGCTGGTAAATCAGACGTGCTAATCAAAAAGGTTCATGGCCCAGAAGGTTTCATGGGTGAGTTCTTTGAATGAACTTTCAAGAAATAGGTCAACCAAATTCTATAGAAACAGCCCCTATGGTAGAAAAAATTTGACAACATTTTTCAGTGTGATTTATGAAACTAGTAAAACCCTTATACCAAAATATGACAAAACACCAAAAAAAAAAATAAAAAATCCCCAAACCCAGAAGATTTTATTATATCCCAACCTCAAAATTACATCAAAATTCTGAATGAAGTATTAACAAATAAAAATGAATAGTGTTATAAAAAGAATAGTCCGTCATAGTTGAATGTGAGAATTGTACAACTATTAGGGCATCTATTAACATCACATTAATAGGTCAGAGGAGAAAAGTGGAATCGTTATTTTCTGAATTTGAAGTGTTATGATGATGTGGTTTTGAGGTCTAGAGGAACAAGACGAGTTGAGTCTGACCCCAGGGTTTTGGCCTGAAGAATTGGAATGTGTGACCCTTCATTCTGTTGGAGAAGGATGTGAAGGAGCAGATTTAGGGCAGGAAAGGAGAACTTTAATGTCAAAGTAGCCTTTTAGAGGTCTCCCTCGGAAGACCTTTGGAAAAGTCTGGAGCAGGGGTCAGCAAACTTTTTCTTAAAAGGCCAGAGAGTTAAAAAAAAATATGTATGTATTTTTTTTAAGTGGGTCTTGCAATGTTATTGTCCCTGCTGACCTGGAATTTGTGATCCTCCCACCTCAGCCAAGTAGCTTGGACCAGAATCATGTGTCACCACACCCAGCCAGAGAGTAAATATTTTAAGCTTTACAGGCCACGTGGTCTTTGCGTTTGCAGCATGAAAACAGCCATAGACTGTGAACGAATGAGTCTGTGTTCCAATAAATTTACAGTTTATTTACAGTCACTGAAGCTTAAATTTCATGTGATTTTCACATGTCATAAAATATTCTTCTTTTGATATTTGATATTTGTCCAAACCTGGAACACCTGAGCTCAAGTGATCCTTCTGCCTCAGCCTCCTGAGGAGCTGGGACTCTTAGAGCTGGGACTATGGGCATGTGTCACCATACTCAGCTGTTCTTTTTATTTTTTCCCCCCAACTATTTAAAAATGTAAAAGCCATTTTTACAACTTTTTTTGGTGTGTGCTGGGGATGGAACCCAGGGCCTCATGCCTGCTAGACACACACTCTACCGCCGTAGACACACACTCTACCGCCGATCTATGCCCCCAGCACTCAAATTTAATCAAAATGGGCAGCCAGACAGATTTAGCTCAAGAGAGCTTAGGTCAGGAGACAAATAGGAAAATACCAGGAGTTGGTTGGTTTTGAAGCCATCTGAGACCCATTCAGTGGGCCCCAAATTACATATGATTTTTCTTTCTTCACAACTGCATTTAATGCAGAGCTGAGCATGGTGACAAAAACATTACAGGTAAATTGCGTTATGACTTGAGGGTGATGCTGCTTGCTCAGGACCCTGTAGTTTGTGAGAGGTAGACTTAGAATAAGTTCTTTTTTTTTTTTTTTTTTTTTTTTTTTTTTTTAAGAGAGAGTGAGAGAGAGAGAATTTTTAATATTTATTTTTTAGTTTTCGGCGGACACAACATCTTTGTTTGTATGTGGTGCTGAGGATCGAAGCTGGGCCGCACGCATGCCAGGCGAGCGCGCTACCGCTTGAGCCACATCCCCAGCCCAAGAATAAGTTCTTGAGAAAGAACTGAAGTCAGTCCCCCAGGATCTGACCACATTCTTCTCCCATTTTATGCCTTTCTTTAAAAATGACAAATAGCCGAGTGTAGTGGCGCAGGCCTGTCATCCCAGTGGCTCAGGAGGCTGAGGCAGGAGGACCACGAGTTCAAAGTCAGCCTAGTGAGGCCCTAAGCGACTCAGTGAGACCCTGTCTCTAAATAAAATGCAAAAAAAGGGCTGGGGGTGTGGCTCAGTGGTTAAGTACCCCTGGGTTCAATCCCCAGTCCAAAAAGAAATAAATTAGTTAAAAATAAAAGCTTGGTGGCCAGTACAGTCCGCCGTAGGCAATAGGTTGGGCTGGTGAATGTTCCAGCAGTAGAATCTGCACATTACCTCTGTTTCTTCCTGCCCAGATTGGCCCGTGTTTGGTGACCTTGATAACATGGCACCCAGAGACCATGACCGTCTAGACAACCACCGGGTGAGTGGAGAGTAAGGGAAGGAGGAGGGGCTCCGGGCCCCAGCAGGGTGGGAGGGCTGAGCTCTCTTAATGGGGTGAGCCTTCAGATTCAGGTGGGTAGCCCAGCCCAGGTGTGCTCCAGGAAATGCCCAGAGGGCTTGGGGCTGGGGCAGCTGGACAAAGTGAAGGAACTCAGTCTGCTGCCAAGGCAGAGCTTCCTCTGGGAAAAAGCCGTGTCCCTTCAGTTCCTGGAGATCAGGGAAGATTATTTCCAAATCAGCAGCAGCACATGCCAGGCTCAGCAGCCCTGGGTTGGGTCTGGCCACACATGTGCGGATGCCTGACCCTGAGCGGGTTACAGTCATGGAACCTACAGCCTGGTGGCACAGTGCTCTCGGGTTGCATAAAGAGACTGTCTCCTGCAGCTTCAGGTTGACTCAGCAGTGAGAAACTAAAGGCACTATGTTTGCATCTGCCCGAATATATATTATGGCATCAAAGTAAAAATTAAAACTAAAAGTGGATAAATGCACAGGTCACAGTCCCCCTTTTGCTCTACTGATTACCCCAGAGGTTCAAGCTCATTCCTGGATGCTTTTCAGAGTTCTTGAATGGAAGGGGAAAATAATAATAGGTGACATGTATGGAATTGTCACCGGGAACAGTTTTAAGGATTTGGTAGATATCCTCATTTAATTCTCAAAACTTACAAGGTTGGTATTATTTTTTTTATTCCTTTTAGAGTAGATTTTATTCTAGAAGTAAAGCTTAGAATTTTGGGAATAGGTAATACATTTTCCTGGTTCAGGAGGAAAAGGTCTGAAAGATTAGCACAGTAGAAAGTCTCCCTCCCACCCTGTCCCTTCTTGGCTTCCGGTCCCAGTGTTAGCAACCCCGGGGGCCATTCTCTCTCTCTCATTGTCCCTGATTTAGAGTTGAAGAAACTAAGGCACAGAAGTTAAGGTACTTGCTCATGACACTTAGCAATGGAGCCAGGGTTCAAAGCCAAGCTCTCAAACCCAAACCCGCCCTCTGCTCTTCTGTCCTTTGCTGCCTTCTGTTTTACAAAAACCTTGGAGTTGGTATTCATCTATTTCTCAGGTGAGAAAACTGAGACTGGGAGAGGCTGCCTGCCTCACTGAGCCACTGAGCTGAGATCTAAGTGAGGCTCTGTGTCCCACAGCTTCGGAGGGATTCCAAAAGGAGGAACATGTGCCCAAGGTTGTGTGGTTCTGAGGTCCAAGAGAGGGGTGCTTCAAGCTCCTGAATAAAGCCTGCAATCCATTTTCAGTCTTTTATCTGGCATACTGAATAGTTGGGTATTATAGAACATAATGCATCAATTTAAAGAGTTGAAAATGTCTTTCCCGTGTGCTAGGGATTAAACCCAGGACCTTGCATCTGCACCCTACCACTGAGCTACATCCCCGCTCCTTAAATGTTAAAATATTAGACCAGGCACTGTGGTGCATGCCTGTCATCCCAGCTACTTGGGAGGCCAAGGCAAGAGGATTGCAAGATTGGGGCCAGTCTGAGCAATTCAGCAAGACTCTGTCTCAAAAATAAAAAGGACGGGGGACATAGCTCAGTGGTAGCATGCTTGCCTAGCTTGCATGATGCAAAAACAAATAGATAAAAATAAAAATAAAATTTAAGTAATATAAAATGGTTTATTCAAATAAAAACAATAGGGACTGAGGATGTAGCTCAGTGGTAGAGCTCACCCAGCGTGGTAAGGCCCTGAATTCAACTCAAGAAATAAATGAAGGAAGAGAAAAAATACTAATATATGAAAAGTCTGAATTCATGGAAGGGGAAGTGAATGAGAATTGACAGGATTCGTAGCAGGTTGAAATTTTAATGGTGATGTTTTAAGTACTTTTAAAATTAAAGGGCTTACATAACTTGGGCATAATGCTGAGTTGACAAAGTTGGGTGATGGGTACATAGGAGTTTATTTTAGATTTTTTTTTTTTTTTGTACCAGGGATTGAGTCAAGGGGTGCTTAACCACTGAGCCACATCCCCAGCCCCTTTTATTTTTTTATTTAGACACAGGGTGTCCCTAAATTGCTTAGGGCCTCACTAAGTTGCTGAGGTTGGCCTTAAATTTGTGATCCTCCTGCCTCAGCCTCTCTAGTTGCTGGAATTACAGGCACGCAACACTACAGCTGGCTTGTTTATACTCTTTTGAGTGTTGAAATACCACTTAGTAGAAGAAAGAGGAGTAGAAAATAGATTAGATTACTGACAACATGCAAATAGGGTCAAAACTCAACATTGGTAGGCAAAGAATGAAGTCTTTGAGATTCTTAATTTTTCCAGATTCAATTTCAAAGTAGATCTAGGAGATTAAAAAAAAAAAAAACATGTATGTGGAGTTTGGTAGAGGGGACTTAGTTGTGGTGAATACTGTTTACCAGGGCTGTATCTTTGTCCTTGGTCATTGATCCTAAGCCAGCTTCTGTTCTCTGCCTGTGAATGGGTGAACCGCTCTTAGTAATAGCACTCATCATGACCCACATTACTTTCATCCTCACCGACCTTTGATGTAGGTGCTAGAATGAATCCCCATAGCTAAGGAAACCAAAGCTCAGAGAATCTGAACAACTGCCCAGGTAATAGCTGGCAAGTAACAAAGTCAGGACTTGAGTCTGGGCAGTGTGGCTCCAACCCCCAGGTTCTTTGCCACCACTCCACACGGCTTCCTTGTCCCCCAATCCTCATGGGACAGGAAGAAGAGCAGGTTAAATGAAGAGATGGAACAAGGGGCAGAAAGATGATGATTAGGATGTACTCAGATCCACCAAGTCCTCAAAGGACCTCTAAGACCCTAAGATCATCTTCTGTCCACAGGACTCTGAGGCCAGTGGGGATAGTGGATACCCCAGTGAAAGGCGGGGTGAGCTGGATGACCCAGAGCCCCGAGAACAGGTAAGGATCCCACAGACAATGAGAGTAGAGTTTCCTGTTGCCTCATTGGTCCTTCAAGAGGATAAAATCTATAGAAAGGGAATGTGAGTGGGTTCTGAGAATATAACAAGTAAAATAACAAGATTATTTCAGATAAATATAAATGCAGAGCAGAAGGTAAAATGTAAAATGGGTAATGTGGGCCACAAAAGGGAGGAGGGTGGTATCTTGGATATAAGGTTGAAAATGGCAGGATATAAGGTTGAAAATCTTATGGTGCAGCTGGGGCCTTTGGTTATTATGGGGAGCGGAGGCTGGGTAACTGGCTGGGCCGTGTCCACACCAGCCCCTCATTCCTGCCTGTGGCCTGACATCCCTTTAGCTTGGCAGACAACGGTTCCAGCTTCTGCTGGGGAGGGCTGGGCCAGTTCACTGCGAGAAGAGCCCCCTGGGAAGGTCAGCCTCTTCTGGATGGAGGGCCACCTGGGAGGGCTGGGCCAGTTCCCCAGCGGGAGGCTCTTGGGAGAGAGGTCTGTCCTCGGAAAAACTCAATCTCCACTTCCATCCAGGGCCACTCAAATGGCAACCGGAGGTACGAGTCCGATGAGGACAGCCTGGGCAGCTCCGGACGGGTAATGCAGTCTTGGGATCTCTGGTCACTTGCTTGTCTGTGGAGGGCTCTGTTTCTGTTTCTCCTCCTTCACATCACTGCCACCTGCTCGTCCTCCTTGCATGTGTCCATTTTGCAAATGAGCAGATTGCCTGGGCAGACATGAGGTGCCATCCTGTGCAGGAACTTGTGGGGAGGATTCAAGACATGGTCCTGGAGGGGAAATGACAATGGCTGTAGCTCACGTGTTAAAGTGCTTGACTAGAGGAGCCTTGTGCACTTTATTAATCCATTTATTTATTTATTTATTTATTTTGTGGGGGGTGGTATTGGGATTGAACCAAGGGGCATTTTACCACTGAGCCACATCCCCAGCCCTTTTTATATTTTATTTTGAGTCAGGGTCTCACTAAACTGCTTAGGGCCTCACTAAGTTGCTGAGGTTGTCTTTGAACTTGCGATCCTCCTGCCTCAGCCTCTCAGCTGCTGTGATTTCAGGTACGCATGACTACCCCCAGCTAATCCATTTATTTCTTGTAGCCATTCAATGAGATAGGCTAAGGTTACTCATCCCCATTTTATGTATGAAAAACTTGGATCTTAAGCAACTTTCCTTAGATTCCCAAGCTAGTCCAGATTGAGTATTCCATATCTGAAATGCTTGGGACCAGAAGTATTTTGGATATTTTTGGATTTTGGAGTCTTTGCATATATACAATGAGATAACTCGGGGATGAGACCAAACTCTAAACATGAAATTCGTTTCTATTTCATGTACACCTTAGCCCCATAGCCTGAAGGTAATTTTAAAAATTTTATTTTTTAGTTGTAGATGAACACAATACCTTTATATTATTCATTTATCGTTATGTGGTGCTGAGGATTGAACCCAGAGCCTCACACTTTCTAGGCAAGCACTCTATCACTGAGCCACAACCCAGCCCCTGAAGGTAATTTTATAGGACATTTTTAGTGCACCTATGTTTTGACTACAGCCCATCTCATGAGATCAGGTATGGACTCTTCCACTGGTGATGTCATGTTGTACTCAAAAAGTTTCAGATTTTGGAGCCTTTACAATTTCTGATTTTTGGATCAGGAATGCTCAGCCTGTATGTGTAGCAAGCATCCCAGATGGTGGTTAGCATTAGGCAAGTCTCAGACAAGCCCTACACCTCACTTGCTCTTCTCTACTGACTCCCAAACACACCTTGCTTGGATCTCAACCATCCACACCTTTGCTAAGAGGATGAGTCTCTCTCCCCTGCAAAGTCTTTCCTTCCCCTGTGTCCATTCCTCCTCAAATCCTGCTCTCCAAGCCTGGATGCCATTGGCCCTCCCTGACATCCCCAGCAGTCCTGACTCTTGCTCCTCCCAGAATGCTGAGCTGTTTCTCCATCAGGTCAGGTTTTCCCAGCTCAGCATGGTGCAGGGTTGCTCAATCAGGGCACTGTTGGCATTCAGGGTTGGATCGCTCCTCGTTGTGGGGTGGCCCTGTGCATTGCAGGATGTTGAGCTACGTGGCTGGGACCTGCAGGAACCTCTGGACAAGTGTATCTTCAGCTGGAAGAAACCATGTGTTTTCTAAACCCATGCCCAAAGCACCCTTTGATGTCACCCACAGCATCAGGGTGGATTTGGAAGAGAGCAAGTGGGTCTGCTGAAGTCTGAATTTTCTCATGCCTTGTATGGGGTTTAGTGTGTTGAGCCCCCCAACCAGACTCAGATTAATAAATTGGGGGAATCGCTTCTCTGAGCTGCTGCTGTCTGTTCTCCTCTGAGTCCTGTGGTTGCTGTCTCTCTGCACCTGCAAGCTGGTGGCATTTGAATGATTAGAATTGGAAAACATTTGTCCAATAAAATCGGACACTGTAAGGATTTGTTCTGCCTCTTACCAGCAGGCTCCTGGGTGCTGGTAGCAGGGGCAGCTGAGAACGGGACAACAGGTCTACCCCAGCCCCTCTTGTCTCTGACCTCTAAGCTCCATCCCTGTCCCTCCCCTCAGGTCTGTGTGGAAAAGTGGAACCTCCTCAACCCCTCCCGCCTCCACCTGCCAAGGCCATCAGCGGTGGCCCTCGAAGTGCAAAGGCTTAATGCCCTGGACCTTGAAAGGAAAATCGGGAAGTCTGTTTTGGGGAAGGTATTGTTGATGCCCATTTCGCAGCCCTTTCTGCACGAGCCCAGGGCCCCTGGCCCACGCCTCTCCTGTGCCAATCGCTTCCTCCCGCAGGTTGGCTGGGCGGCCCTTGGGTGCGGCTTGGGCTTCGCAGACAGCCGGGCCAACACCGCAGTCTGTGTGGCAGGTCCATCTGGCCATGGTGCGCTACCACGAGGGCGGGCGCTTCTGCGCCAAGGACCAGGAGTGGGACCGTGACTCGGCGCTCTTTCATCTGGAGCATGCGGCAGACCTGGGCGAGCTGGAGGCCATCGTGGGCCTGGGACTCATGTACTCGCAGCTGCCCCACCACATCCTGGCTGACGTCTCTCTGAAGGTGAGGGACTGGACGGTGCAGGTCCCGCAGGAAGTGGAGGGCTCCGCCCACCCAGCCATCACCTGCCTCCTGTCCTGGAGGTCACTCACTCACCTGCCTCCCTGAGGATGATACAGGCCCCAGAAACATCCTGGGCATTGGTTTGGGGTCAGGTACTTCAAAGTCAAAACTGGCAGACTTGATCTCTGGCTTTGGGGAATGACAGTCACATTTCCAGGCAATAGGGACAGTATGATGGGAGAAGCAGAGGAGACTGGTGGACACAAATGAGGAAAAGCCCTAAGGGGCTTTTGAGTGGTCCCTGCAGGCCTCCTGTCATCAGCTCTGCCATACCCCTAGTGGCTAGAGCAGAGCCTGGCACTGGGAGATGCCCATTCACTGACCCAAAGGCCAGTGGGAGTGAGTAGGTCAGACTGAGGGAGCCGCTCAGGCCCAGAGGTGAGAGACAGACAGGTAGAGTCTAGAAGGTGGTCAGTGGGGTTGGAACACAGGGATGAGATGGGTGCAGGATTGGGGCTAAGGAGCAGTCAGGGTAGGATGTGAAGGAGCAGGATGTGAATGTGTTGGGAATTGTGTAGGGGTCTCCTCCTTCCTTCCTGGTCATGGGCACAGAAGAAAGGATTGAATGGACCTGTTCTGGCAAGACCTGGGGAGTGCCCTAGTTTCCTGGGAGAGGTTGGGAGGCTTTTGGTGGGTATGGCTGGAGCAGAGGCTCAACATGGGTCCAAGGCAACAGCCCTCCTCAGGGCTTGATCATGGCTTGTCAGCAGGCAGATCTCAGATGAAGAGGGTGGTGAAAAACACTTTGAAGACCTTATTTATTTAAATAGGTAATACACTCATGAAAAAGTAAAAAAAAAAAAAAAAAAAAATTAAGCTGGGTGTGGTGACTCATGCCTATAATCACAGCTACTGGGGTGGCTGAGGCAGGAGAATCATAAGTTCAAGGTCAGTCTGGGCAACTGTCTCAAAATAAAAAATAAAGATGGACTCAGTGGTGCACACCTGTAATCCCAGAGACACTAGAGGCTGAGGCAGGAGGATTGTGAATTCAAAGCTAGCCACAGAAACTTAGTGAGGCCCTAAGCAACTCAGTGAGACCCTACTGGGGAGTGGCTTAGTAGTTGAGTGTTCCTGGGTTCAATCCCTGGTACCCCCCCAAAAAAATGAAATTGAAAACACAAAAAGGGCTGGAGATGTAGCTCAGTGGCATGAAAAAAAAGAATAATATTTAAAGGTTTACAGTGCAAAATCCCCCTCCCACTTTTCTTCCCATTCTCTCATTTCTGAAAAACACGTATAGCTATAATTATCAATTTTTCATATATAATTGCAGAAATGTATTAATTACCTAAGATATAGTAACGAATTACTACAACCTGAGTGCAGGACCATGCTTCCTCTGAGGCTCTAGGGGAGAACCTTCCTTATCTCTTCTGGCTTCTAGAAATTGCCCGCAGTTTTTGGTGTTCCTTGGCTTGAATCATTTCAATCCCTATCTCTGCCTTCACGTGGCCTTCTACCCACATGTCTCTGTCTCTGTGTCTCTTGTGTTTTTATGGACACCAGCCATGTTGGATTTAGGGTCCTCATAATCCAAGATAGTCTCCTCCTAACATAACTACCTAACATCTGTGAAGACCCTGTTTCCAAATCAGATTACATCCTGAGGTTCTGGGTGGACATGAATTTTGGGAGGCATATTATTCCTTCCCGAACACAGTTTTCACCTGCAAATATGGAGTACAGATTCTAACGGTCCACCTTCTTATTTTTCCTCCAAAGTTAGCATACTGTACACACTTTTGGGACCTTGTTTTTTTCACTAGACCTTAATTTTCCACAGTGTCACACAGAAAGCTTCCTGATTCTTTGTTGACAGTGTTCCACAGAATGGATATGACACACTTTAACCTGTGCCCTGTCGATGCTTGGGGTGGTTCCACTCTTTTGCTGCTGTGACTAGTCTTATCTGCATTAAGTGGAACCTTATGAAACTTCACATTTTTTAATAGATTATGAACTGTAGAATGTTGGTAGCTTCCTGTGGTTTAGTTGACTATAATATTTGGCATGCAGGCAAGGGATACCACAGCTGTTTTTATTTCCTATTTTATTCCCTATTCTCCCATCTCTGTGCTTCTTGGGGGCAGGACTGAATATATCTCATTCAATGAGTGATGTGCTGCTAAACATTCAGTAGTTGGCTTTCAGAGATGCAGAGGAAATCTGTGCACATATATATACATATTATATAGTTTGCTGACATAAAGAATATGCAGCATATGTTTTACAAATAGCAATAAAAGTACTCTTGTAAATTCTATATTGTCAGAATACGTTCATTGGTTTTTGCCAACTTTTGCACATAACAACCTACCTGTGGTGGTAACTGGTGAAGGGGTATAGTTCTGACATGAACGTTGGTTGATATTTTCATTTACCTTAATAAGTAAGATGATAGTGAAATAAAGAAGACCTGTGTTATAACTGGAACTTCATTTGCCCCTGACCTGAGTAGATTCTTTCCTGCATCAGATAATAGTTTTAAGTGCTGGAAGAACATTCTTTTAATTTCCATCACTAGGCATGATGGAATGGTTACAGAGATGAAACAATTTGAAGCTTAATCTGCACTATTCCTATTTTTTCTTTCCCTTTCTGAAGTTCAGATATGGAGAAAACAATTAATCAAATCCTGATTTGTAGCATGGTCTACTTTAGGGGAGGAGTGGGGTACAAACTCCTGCCATGGTCAATTTATTAGTTGTTGATGGACCTTTATTTATATGTGGTGCTGAGAATCGGACCCTCACACATGCCAGGCAAGCACTCTACCACTGAGCCATAAGCCCAGCCCTTTTGTTATCTTTTTTTAATATTTTATTTTTTAGTTATAGGTGGACACAATATTGTTATTTTATTTTTATGTGGTGCTGAAGATCGAACCTAGTGCCTCACGCATGCTAGGCGAGTGATCTACCTCTGAGCCACAACTCCAGCCCCCTTTTTATTATTTTTTATTGACAATGATTGTACATGTTTATGGGGTATAGTGGGGGTGTTTTGAAACGTGTATATGATGTGTGATGATTGGTATATCTGTTATCTCATACATTTATCATTTCTTTGATGAGAACATTCAAAACCCTCTAGCTATTTTGAAACACTTTATTTTTAGCTGTAGTTGCCTTGCTGTGAAATGGAACTCCAGAACTTACTCCTCCTATCTGCTTGTAACTTTATACCCAGTGACCAACCTCTCCTCCTCCTTCCCTTCCCCTCCCCAGGCTCTAAAAATACAGAACGCTTCGCAGATTTGTATGTCATCCTTGCAAAGGGACCATGCTCATCTTCCCTGTGTGGTTCCAATTTTAGTATAGGTGCTGCCCAAGTGGACACTCAACAAATCCTAACCAGGGATTTGCCTCCTTCCTCAGGGGACATTTAGCAATGTGTGGAGACTATCTATCTATCTATCTATCTATCTATCTATCTATCTATCTATCTATCTGTTTGTTTATTTGCCAGGGCCAGGGGGTACTGGAGATTGAACCCAGGGATGCTCTAATACTGAGCAACATCCCCAGCCCCTTTTTTCTTTTTTAATATTTATTTTTTAGTTGTAGATGGACCCAATACCTTTATTTAATTTATTTATTTTATGTGATGCTGAGGATCGAACCCAGGGCCTCGCACATGCTAGGGGAGCGCTCTACCGCTGAGCCACAACCTCAGCTCCCCCCAGCCCTTTTTGTGTTTGATTTTGAAACAGGGTCTTGCTAAAGTTGCCCAGCCTGGCCTCCAACTTGTAATCCTCCTGCTTCAGACTCCTGCATTGCTGGGATTACAGGCCTGCACCTCCATGCCCTGCTATAGACTTTTTTATTTTTATTCTTTGGCACTGGGGATTGAACCCAGGGGTGCTTAACCACTGAGCCATATCCCCAGCTCTTTTTGTTTTTAATTTAGAGACAGGATCTCGCCAAGTTGCCGAGGGCCTTGCTAAGTTACTGAGGCTGGCTTTGAACTTTCAATCCTCCTGCCTCAGCCTCCTGAGCCACTGGGATTTTAAGACCTTTTTTTAATAGTCATTGCTGCTGGCATCTGGTAGGTGGAGATGCTGTTCAGCATCATACAAAGCACAGGACTGTTCCCACCATGAAGGCTGTATGTGGTCCCAACTGACCGTGGTGCTGCAACTGAAATAATTTGTTTCAAGAACATAAATAATAGTAAAACACAGTAAAAATAATTAGGGATTGATGACTTTTGAGTATTTATTACCTTTGTTTTAATATGATTCATCTTGTAAGTTTATGATTTTATTTCAATGCTGGGTATGGAATACAGGGCCTCCTGCATGCCAGGTGTGTGCTCTACCGCTGAACGACACTCCCAGCCCATGATTAAGTTTTAATCATGGTTGTGCTTTTCAACAGGCTTGCCAAATTCCTGAAAGTTGGGTTTTTGGTGCCAGGGATGGAAGCCAGGGCATCACCCATGCTAGGCACTATCCTCTCTATCACTGAGCTATTCCCCAGCCCCAAATTTATGAAAGCGTAAGTCTGTTCTTGTGAACCCCAGCACCTGGTACAGAGGACCCTCAGAGGGTTTGAGGCCTGAATAAAGGGATGCTGGGTGTGAGGACCAGGACTGTGGGGGATCCCGCCTCTCTGAGACACTCTGATAACTCTCCCTGTTATCACAGGCCGTTTGTACTGGTCCATCTAGCGACCTTGTAAAGGGGTTGAGAAGCAAGTTCAACGTCCTTGTCTGTAGGTATCCCAGCTATCTTTCTCCAGGGTTCCGATTCTGGAAGCTTCCCCTGGCAGGAGTGTGGTTGCATGATCAGTGTGGTTAGGACAGGGCAGGCCTGCAGGAAGTGAGCCATGCTCAAGCCATGTCTTAGCAAGGAAAGTGATGGCTGCCTGCTTTAGGGGCCACTGTGGGCCTAGAAAGCCCCTCTCTCATTTCTCCAAGGTCCCCCTCCTCTAGGCCTTTTTTCCATTGTCTTGTGAAGACATTCATTCACTCAGCAACACATGATTTTTTAGCATTTTTATTATTGATTATATTCACGACAATGAATGAGATAGACAAGGTCTCTGCTCTCCTGGAGCAAACTCTTCAGGTGGAAAAGGATATAATACAGATAATAATTAACAAACAAAAATATTTCAGCTAGGTGCTGTGGTGCACACCTGTAACCCAGCAACTTGGGAGGATGAGGCAGAAGGATCATAAATTCAAAGCCAGCCTCAGCAATGGTGAGGCGCTAAGCAGCTCAGTGAGACCCTGTCTCTAAATAAAATACAAAATAGGGCTGGGGATGTTACTCAGTGGTCAGGTACCCCTGGGTTCAATCCCTGGTACCAAAAAAAAAAAAAGGAAGGAAAAAAAAACATTCCAATAGAATTATAAAATAACCTCTATTGAAGTTTATTTAGCACTTCCTGTGCTAAGCATTGTTCTAAAGTGCTAGGGACAGGCAATATGAATGAGAGACTGGATAGGCCTCCTGTGTTAGGACATAGGTGCCTGTTGCAAGGGAGGCTGGGAAATGTAGTCTTTAGTTTGCCAGCCGTGGGCCTAGCAAAAACATGGCAGGAATGAGAGAGTTCTGGCCACTTCTTTCTTTCTTTCTTTTTTTTTTTGTACCCAGGATTGAACTCAGGGGCACTTAACCACCAAGCCACATCCCCAGCCTTTTTTTTTTTTTTTTATTTAGAGACAGTGTCTCAGTTGCTTAGGGCCTTGCTAAGTTGCTGAGGCTGGCTTTGAACTCACGATCCCACGCTCCTGGGATTATAGGTGTGCACTACCACGCCTGGCCTGGCCATATATATATATATATCTTTTTTTTTTTAAGTTGGACATAATACCTTTATTTTTTAATTTATTTTCACATGGTGCTGAGGACCCAACCCAGTGCCTCACATGTTCGAGGAAGTGCTCTGCCACTGAGCCACATTCTCAGCTTGAAATTGATTTTTGTGGTGGTGGTTGCACAATTCCATGAATATACTAAAAACTACGATGTGTAATGCTGTGTAATGTGTAATGCTGTGGTAGCCAGCCCCAGAGCTCTCCCAATAATACAAGAAACAGGGAGAAGATTGATGAGCGAGATTTATGCAAGCCTTGTTATTTTTTCCCCCCTCTTTGGTTTGTATTGACAGGAGACAAAGGAGAATAAGACGAAAGGATTCGATTACTTACTCAAGGCCGCTGAAGCTGGCGACAGACAGTCCATGATCCTGGTGGCACGAGCTTTTGACACCGGTCTGAACCTCAGCCCAGACAGGTAACTGTGGCTGTCACTCAGGTGGAATCCATAGGGATCTGGATTGGGTGGGCACTTTCTCTTTAATATCAGGATAGACATGGGCTCTGGTCTTGGTTTCACCCATTACCAGACCAGTGACCCTGAGTGAGTTCTTTTACATTCATCTTTTGAAACAGGAACAATCACAACACCTGCTTCTGAGGATTGTCGTATGAAGGTTACATGACATGGTGACAGTAACTCTCACAGCACCGGGTACATGAGGCCTGCAGTGATTGGCAGCCATTTTAGCTAGTATAATAAAGATTTTCATGAGAAAAAAAATCACTATCAGGCTCAGAGGATTGTCCCTGGATAGTAGGATTTGGGTGATCTTAATTGACTTTTCCTGCTTTTATTTTTATTTTATTATTTTTCACTTCTAAGAAGAAGGAGTAGGTTTAAAGACTCCAGCAACTAAAGTATCAGTACTTTTCATTTATTCTTCAGGCTGAGATGCCAGGTCTGGTTTTTGCAGTGGGAGGAGAACAGGGTGGCCCACCTTCATCTCGGCTCTGTGGCTTAGCCAGTGGGAGATCCCGGAAGTCCAGGGCAGAGGTCAGTTGCTCACCCTAGGTGGTTCCCATTGGAACCTGGCTACCCAGGAGCCTTCAAGAACTCTTTGGAAGGGAGCAAGGAGGGTGTATTCATTGTGTAAATCTCCAAGGTGAACCAGCTGAGCAGGTCCCTCCTCTTGGTCTCAGGAGCTCCTCTCTCTTACTGGGTTTAGAACGAAAGTCTGGTAGGACTCTCATATTAAGGAGGTTTCAGGGTCAAAAACTTCTGAATGCATTCAGAAGCCTGCCTGTGTGCCAACGTTTTTCAGATACCTGCTGTGTAACAGCAGTGCTCCCCTATATTTGGACAGCATTTTTGTGTTATGATTTGATTTCATTGAGAATAGGAATCAGTTCTCCTATAACTCTGTGTCCTACATCTTCCACATCTTAGTATCTTAGCTCAGTGGTTGAATGAATAAACCAACACATCTCAATGACACAGACAAGGCAGGTGTTTGGGGCCCCATTTTGTGGATAACTATAGACTATAGTTCTGAGAAGTGAAGGAACTTGGAATGCTTGGGGTCAGAAGTGTTTTGGATTTTGGGTTTTCTCAGATTTTGGACTATATGCATATGTATAATGAGATATCTTGGGGACAGATCCCAAATCTAAATGCAAAATTCATGTATACACCATAGACGCATAGCCTGAAGGTAAGTTTATCCAATATTTTTAGTGAATCTGCAAAATGATTCACGTTTGCATTATGATTATAATCAAAAAGTATCAGATTTTGGTGTTCTTAGATTTGGGAGTTTTGGATTAGGGATGCTCAACCTGTACCTAATAAGTGGCAGAGCCAAAGTTTTGGTCTTTCCATCTTTCCTTCATTGTATTCACTATTGACCGGCTTTTTAGTGAACTTAGAACTATACTGGCATGGAGAGGTGCTAAACAAAAAAGTCCTAACATGATTCTATTAGATCAAGTACCCATACATATGGTACCCATTGAGTGCCGTGGAGAAGTATAGCATGGGTAGAAGGAGTTGGAGATGGGCATTGAATATTTATATCTTTGGTTCTTAAAAAGTCTTTGTATTTGTGCTTTCTCTTTCTGTCCTTTGTCTACTTTGATTTTTACTTCTTTTTTTAAAATTTATATTTATTTCTACTTTTACTCCAAATGATAGTTTCTTATTGATTTGTTACAATTCTTTGTATATTAAGGCTGTTAACCCATTCTCTTTAAAAGAAGTTGTGTTTTTTTTTTTTTCCCTATTTCCAGAGATGGCCAACATAGATTGGGGAGGAGGAAACATATACCACATAATGACCATTGCTTACTGGGTTTGGGGACATGCTGGTTTTTAATATTTATGTAATTAAATCTATGAGAATTTTCTTTTTTTTATAGCTTCTACTATAGTCATTTTATTTTTCTTCTTCCTCATTCCAAGCAGCTCCAGCCTTTTGCATTCAGGGAGCATTAATTAAGGGCCAGCTATGGGTAAGGCAGGGCCCCATGTAGGCCCAAATTTATATTTAAGGGATTTTGGTTCTCTCAGAAGTTACATCTAATAGGGGGAATGGAAAATTCCAAGGCAGGGTGGGCACCCTGACCACTGGGACAACGTGGAGCAGGGGTGGGCAGGGAGAGAGAAGATGCTTTCCCATGTAATGTTTCCAGGGCAATTGTGTTCTGCCCTTTAGGACTGGGGATCATCAAAGCTGAAGAGGTGATGTCATCTAGTCTAGGGGTCCCTATTCCAATAATACAACCCTAGGTTTTTGGGTACCTCGTTATTTTCAAATAATTTCCTTTTTTTTTTTTTTTAAATAAGATACAATGGGGTCACGGTCCTAAATCCCATCTCCACCCACCACTTGCTTACCTTTTTTCATCCAGCAGAAATGTGTTGAGCCTGTACTGCTGGCCAGGCCCTGGGAATATAGCAGTTAAAGGTCAGGGATGACCCTAATATATGAGGGAACAAGGAGAATTAGAGTGTGAAATTGTAAGAAACAAGGTGTTTAGAGACAGCATCTCTGGAGAGGTAACATGAACTGAGGCTGGAGGGGTGAAGAACTAGGTGTGGAACCCAGACTAGAGGGGTGGGAATTTAGGCTGAGCGTGGAGGTGCACGCCTGTAATCCTAGCAGCTCTGGAGGCTGAGGCAGGAGGATCGCAAGTTCAAAAACCAGCCTCAGCAATGAAGTGAGGTCCTAAGCAACTTAACGAGACCCTGTCTCTAAATAAAATATTTAATATTTTAAAAGGGCTGGGGATGTGGCTCAGTGGTTAAGCATCTCTGGGTTCAATTCCTGGTACCAAAAAAAAAACAAAAAAACGAGGGTACAGGCAGGTGCTGGCATGTTTGGGGAGTAGCACCTGGCACCAACAGGAGCTGAGACTGGAGGGTGAGGCAAGAGGCAAACATATCATTAGAGCTGCTGCTCCTGGCACATTCAGGACAACCAGAGTCTTTCTTATCAGTGACACTCTTTGCTGTTTCCTGATGTGCTATAAATAGTTCCTCACATGGATTACACGCAAAGAAAAACAGCCTGCTGCCCTGTTAGCTCTGTATTTTGTAGTTGCATGACTGGCTGAAACCTATGGTCACCCTTGGTGGTTTGGCCAGATGCATGCTGCCATAGGAGAAAGAGCCGGGGAGCGGAGGGGCTTCGCTGGGGTGGGGAGAGGAGTCCTGCATTATTCTGGAAGAGAGCCCGAACTGGCCAGCACAGGCAGGGCATAGGCAGGGGCTGAGCGATTGCTGTTAGGTGGTTCTGGGGGCTTCTGCCCAGGGTCCTTCTCCTACCAGAGTCAGAGGTCCGCTTGTGCTAGCCCATAGGGTGCTTGTGGGTGATCCTAGAAAAATGTCCCCCTCCCCAATATGCTCGACTTCTGTTGCAGAATGGTTATTAAGGAAAGCTACATGACTGCCCTCTTAATAAATAAATAAACCTACAACATCACAGTGCCCCTCGGATGTGGTGGTGGTCTTGGACACTGTAGGTTGGGAACCAGAGGTGGTCGTCCCGGCTGTATCCCTGACTTGGATCAGGGGTGGTTGGCCCTCTGCCCTCCCCCACCTGCTGCTGTGATGATGTCCCTCTTTCTCTGTGTCCCCTGGCAAGGTGCCGAGACTGGCCCGAGGCCCTGCACTGGTACAACACTGCCCTGGAGACAACGGACTGTGATGAGGGCGGTGAGTTCGATGGGATGCAGGACGAGCCCCGGTATGCGCTGCTGGCCAGGGAGGCTGAGATGCTGGTCACTGGAGGCTGTGGGCTGGAGAAGGACCCGCAGAGATCAGGTAGGGCCTCGCAGACCTGCCACTGGGGCGGGACAGGGCTGGGCAGGGACCCTTGTAATTCTCATCCCCATTGGGAGGGGCCCAGGGTGAGTCTCTTTTCAGGGGGGTGGTTTATGGAGCTAACACGCAGATGGACATTTTTATTTAATGCTTATACAGTCAGCCTTGGGTAGCTGTTGGTTCTTCATCCATGGATTCAACCAACCACAGATCAAAGAATATTTTAGTAGTGCTGGGGATGTAGTTCATGGTGGAGCACTTGCCTGGCATGCATGGGGCCCTGGATTCCGTCCATGGCCTCTGTGCTGAATGCATACAGACTTTTTCCCTTACAATATAGAATGACAGGGCTGGAGTTATAGCTCAGTGGTAGAGAGAGTGCTTGCCTAGTGTGTATGAAACACTAGCTTCGATCCTCAGCACCACATGAAAATAAATAAATAAATAAATAAAGGTATTGTGTCCATCTATAACTAAAAATATTTTTTAAAAAAGAAAGAAATGTCATGCTTCCTTTACACAAGCAGTATAGGAGTTGAATGCATTCTGCTGTCATGTACAACTAAATAGAACAAATTTTTTTAAAATAAATTTAGGGCGGGGGTTGTGGCTCAGCCGTAGAGCACTTGCCTCGCACGTGTGAAACCCTGGGTTCGATGCTCAGCACCACATAAAAATAAATACGTGAAATAAAGGTATTGTGTCCAACTACAACTAAAAAATAAACATCTAAAAATAAATAAATAATATAAAAAATATATAGGATAACAACTGTTTACATAGCATTTAAATTAGCTATTATAAGTAATCTAGAGCTGGGCAAGGTGACACATGCCTATAATCCCAGAGTCTGGGGAGGCTGAGGCAGGAGGATCACAAGTTCAAAGCCAGTCTCAGCAACTTAGTGAGGTACTAAGCAAACTCAGTGAGACCCTGTTTCTAAATAAAATACAAAATAGGGCTAGGGATGTAGCTTAGTGGTCGAGTGCCCCTGAGTTCAATCCTCAGTACCCACCCCACAAAAAGAAGTAATCTAGAGAGGACTTAAAGTGTGTGGGAGGATAATGTATAGGTCACATATAAATGCTATGCTATTTTCTATAAAGGACTTGAGCATCTGCAGATGGTACTGGAACCATGGACATCAAGATATGTATTAGAGGGCCGGGGTTGTGGCTCAGCGGTAGAGCACTTGCCTAGCATGTGTGCGCCCTGGGTTTGATCCTTAGCACCACATAAAAATAAATAAAGGTATTGGGTCCAACTACAACTAAAAAATAAATACTTTTTTTTTTTTTAAAGATATATATTAAAGTCTTAAGGGGAGTTCTTTGCAATTTTGAAAACTGAACTAAAATTTTCACAACATGAAATTTACCATCTTGAAGTGTAGTTCAGTGGATTTTAGTATTTTCACAATGTTGGTCACCCATCGCCATTAACTAATTCCAGAACATTTCCATCACCCCAAGAAGAAACCCTGTACTAGTTAGCAGTCATTCCTAACCTGCCTTCTCCCCCATTCCTGGGGACCAAGGATCAACTTTTGGTCTATATGGATGGGCCTGCTCTGGGCTCCTTCTGTAAGTGACTCATGAAATACATGGCCTTTTGTGTCAGGCTTCTTTCACTTAGAATAATGGCTTTAAGGTTCATGCATGCTATAGCATGTACCAGTGCCTCATTCATTTTTATTGCCAAATAATATGCCATTGTAGGAGATGCCCCATTTTGGTTTTTTTTTTTTTTTTTATGGTGCTGGGGATTGAACCCAGGGCCTTGTGCATGAAAGGTAAGCACTCTACCAACTGAGCTATGTCCCCAGCCCCCCCATTTTGTTTTTGAGCCATCAGTTGATAGACAAGTTATGTTTTTTTTTTCCATTACATAATATATTAATCTGCTGAAGCTGCCCTATAGATTGAATGGCTTAAGTAACAACAATGTATTTATTTTATTTATTTGTCTGTTTATCTATTTATTTGTTTGGTGCTAGAGATCAAACCCAGGGCCTTATGCATGCTAGGCAAGTTCTCTATTACGGGGCAGTCTCCTAAATTGATTTCTCAAGGCCAAGAAGTCCAAGATCAAGGTGCTCTCCTGTTTCTGGCTTATAGACAATCATCTTCTCACTATGTACTAACATGTCTTGTCTTCTGTATGCAAGGAGAAGGGCCGGGGTAGAGAGACCCATTCCTTTTTATTGCCAAATAATATGCCTTTCCAGAGTAGATGCAAATCTCAGGCCCTACTGTCTTTTCCTCCTCTGAGAAGGGTCCCAGCCCCATTGAACTCAGGGCCCCACTCTTGTGACCTCACTTAACCTTTATCACAGCCTCACAGGCCCTATGTCCACCTACAGTCACTTTGTGGATTAGGGTTTTAACAGATGAAACCTGTGGGTGAGAATTCAGGAAGAGGGTGTTGGTGACACCAATATCCAGTCCTTTACCTATAACAAACTTACTAAACTCCTGATTTCACAGGTATGGGATAAGACTAAATTTTAAAAGTTGTATAAGAATTTGCCAAATAATAAAGCAAATCTATCATTTGAAATTTATAAATCCCCAAAGCTCTAAAATTCCAAAGTGCTTGCTTTGAATTTTATACAGATTCATTTGACAGCAAAACTTGAGCCAACCTGACATGAAGTTATTTCGACTATTTCTTCCTCTTACAAAGATTCTCAATTTATTCTGCAAATATCCTCAGCCTGATTGAATCGCCCACCCACCTGCAAATCACTATGGACCCCAAGGCTTATTCTGATTAGCTCTGCCTAAGTCTAGACCAACCCCTAGGGCCTGCAGGGAATGGAGGAGTGCTCTGATTGGCCAGGTGTGATCACATGGCCACCCTGTGACAGAGCATCCTGAGCATCTATCTGGAGGGAGAGGAAGGATGTCAGGGGTAGTTTGGTTCCTGTAAAAACAAAGACAAGACAAAACCAAACCAAACCTCAGGGTACTCTTGTGGGAGAGGTGGGGGATACTGGCCTGGCATGCACGGTTCACCTCTTTGTACCTTACCTTGCTCTCTTTCAGGGGACTTGTACACCCAGGCGGCTGAGGCAGCCATGGAAGCCATGAAGGGCCGTCTAGCCAACCAGTACTATCAGCTGGCAGAGGAGGCCTGGGCCCAGATGGAAGGATAACTTACCAGAACAATTGCTGCCAGCTAGTCCCAAGCAAAAGGGCTAAGGGGTTGGGATGGGGGGTGGGTGGGGAGACTTATTTAGTTTGAGAAGGAAAAGGTATTTTTCATGTGCTGTAAATTGACTTTTGTATTTTATTTTATTTTATTTTTTTGACTCTTGAAAAAAGGTCTTTGCTACTAGCAGAGACCCTACAGCTGTCCCTTAGGACAGTGTTTTCGGGGAATGGGGATTGAAAAAATGCAGCCTAATGAACCATCCTACTGTTATTGAGATTCTCTTTTTATTTTTTACTTCTTGCTTTCTTATCTTGAGACGTGTCATACTTTTCCACCATGGACAATATGAGACCCTTGCTCACCAGCCTTTCCAGGCTAGATTCAAATCTCAGGCCCTCAGAACCCCGTTTCAAGAATGGGGATGGGAAGTGAAGAGCTAACTTCCCAGGGGTGTGTTTTGTCCTGACTTAGTGCACAGCCATCTTTCTCTGAGCATTTGGGAGCATGCATGGTGTTTTTTGAGTGCACATGCAGCCTCCCTTCTATCCTGGGGCAGGGGCCTGCACATTGATTAATTTCTAACGTCATAGTTTAGTTTCCTCCTGCCCTGAGACTGATTTTTCTGGAATTCCAGCCAAATTCCGTTTTTGAAGCATGCTTTCTTCCTATGGGCTTTACAAAACAGGTTTGATTTTTTTTTTTTGTATGTACACATTTACTACCTCTAACTTGTACATGAATACTTGGTGTGGAACAGGGTGCATCTCAAAGCTTTAATGAATGAGGACAGCAGCTTGGAATATGGGGGACTTTGCTCCAAGCAGCACATACCCTGCTTCCTAGTGGCAACATCCACACAGTGACTAAGTGTCCCTGGTGCAGTATCCCTTAGCATTTTCTTACATGAAGCTATTCTTATATAGAATCTGCTCCCCAGCCCCCACTCTTGGCATTTTCTGCTCCAAGCTGGGCTGATTTTCTTGTGATTTGCAGCTTGGCTGCTTTCAATAGCAGCCCCTTGAGATTTACTAAAGATGTTTGAGGATGAGAGGGCAAGAACTATAAACACTCATTAGTTCTAGAAGTTTCCCCAGGGTCAAGCTACAATATCTTTATTTAATGAGCTTTCTCCTTACAAGGAGTTCCTATTTAATACTAGTGTGATTTCACTTGTTGTTTCAAATAGCCAAGAAACTAGACAATTCAATCAACCACAAATGCTAGAGCAGCCTCTTTCTCGAACAATCAAAGGATGCAAAGCCAAGTGTAACACACAAGCCACTCTTACTTGTTAAGATACTCCCTCAGCACTTCAGTTTGGAGCACTGTGGAGTCATGAACTTGGGCAAACATTAGATTCTAAAGTGGGGTGTGCCCTTCAAGGAAAAATTAAGTCAGCATTACCTGTGAAAACTCCCCGAGTCCACCCAGAAATGACAGTATCCCCAGTTTTTGCACATGGACTCATAACAATTTTCCTTTAGAAGTTGGTACTGATCACCCTTCTTTCATCTATACCAGATCGGTGGTTAGCTTGCTTTAAATTTTATGTGTGTTTTAAACCAGTACCTATAGTTAAATTGCATATATTAAATGTAAGAAGCAACTTTATTGCCACATATTCCTTCAAAGTAATCAAGCCTTGTGCTTTTTTGTTGGTGGTGCCGTTGTTAATTCAGACAGCTTCCTTCTTCTCTGAAATTTTTTTTGAGGGGGGGCGGGTGGAGGTATTGGGGATTGAACCCAGGGGCACTCGACCACTGAGCTACATTCCCAGCCCTATTTTGTATTTTATTTAGTGTGACAGGGTCTCACTGAGTTGCTTAGCACCTTGCTGTTGCTGAGGCTGGCTTTGAACTC